CTGTACCGAGCACGCGCGGCACAAAGCAGCTTTCACCGTCAACTCCAGTGTTGCCTTCTAAAAAAACCCGGATTGTCGGCAAAAAGTATAAAGTCGACACTCGCTAGACAAAACCACGCTGCGTTGACTCTCGTGTGCACCAATGTTCCGGAATCCTAATCTGGCACAATAAAAGGCAAGTTGCAAGGCGATCGTAACCAGTGGAGTTCCATCTGCAAGGCGATTGGTATTCGGGTTGAGCCTGCCATGCTGCAACGCGTAGCGCGTCACCCGACCTCAGTGCACTCTAGTGAACCTCGATTTCTTCGAATAACACTGAACTCAGCGGTTGAGACAGAGTCCATCCTGCTCTCAGCACTTCCTCTTCACAACTCAACGAGCGGAATGCGCATATTGCCCGATGTGCCTTGGAAACAGCGCACAAAAAGAACCGATACAACAGTGCCCAGGGCATACAATAGGACAGCACAGCACGAGTGAAACGTCTGTTCAGGAACGCTCAATAATGCCATGCAACATGACTGAAATACATAAACCAAAAAACAATTAATGGCCGACCACCTAATGGCTGGCTTAAAAACTAACACAAAGTTGACATCCGTCAACGCACTCCTAACAACTAAAGCCCTATCTTGCATGTACACAAACGCCCAAGGTCTTCTAAACAAGTTGGCTGAACTTAGAGAACTCCATGCATCACAACTGCCGGACCTCGTCATGGTTACAGAGACATGGTTAAACCCTGAGATAACCTGTTATGTCGCTACTTCGGACCGATAGAACCGGAAGGGATGGCGGTGTGATTCTTTACTATAATACAAACTTCCGATGTGAAGTTATCGATCACCCAGAAATCCGAGCTCTTGATTCGCTTTGGTGCCGCCTATGGTTGCGAAACATGGACACGTCTACTAGCCGTAATTTATCGCCCACCAAACTCAACTTCGGAAATGGACTCCAAACTGAACCACATTTTTAAGTTTGCTTTAAACAAGTCCTACACCCACTTTCTTATCGCTGGAGACTTTAACCTGCACGACTTGGAAACGCCGGCAACCGACGGTACGCAGTTTAAAGCCTGCTTGCAAGAGCTAATTGCTAGCCACCCTCTGTACAACCACGTAACCTCTCGGAGGTATTTGGCGTAGCGAGATCACCAGGACTGCTCGAATGTCGGAACGTGGACTGCATACGTGACACATCGTAACTTCTGTGTGAAACTGATCCGCGAAGACAAAGTCACTCATCAGCAGGAGTTAATGAAGGGATACTGCACGAACCGCAAACTTCTGTACGTGCACCTTAACGGCCTACGAAAGGTGAAGCGCGGGGTTCCAGCACTAGTCACAGCTGATGGGTGCACGCGATCAGCAATGGAAGCAGCTCATCTCCTACGGTTTCATTACTTCCAAACTTTCCAGCAGGTAACGAGCCCAAACATTCTCCTCATTTCTAATACTCCACCATCTGGTTTAGATAACCTCACCTTCACCGCGGTAGCTATCTCGAAGAATTGTTATCCTTGCGTATCCACAGTTCTCCAGGAGCTGACAACATCCGACCAAAGGCTCTGCAAGCGGTAGCTAGTGACCTAGCAGGACCACTGGCTGTTTTCTATCATTGATGTCTAGAAGAGAACCGTATTCCACCAGTATGGAAGCGAGGGGTCATCATTCCTATCCAGAAAGGAGGTAGCCGCAGTGATCCTGCCAACTACCGTCCAATAACACTACTTCTCGTACTATCCAAATTGATGGAATCAATCATCGCAGACGCGCTGATGCAGTACCTGGAAAGCCACAATTTAATAGTTCCAGAGCAACATGGCTTTCGTCAAAAGCATTCGTGTAATACTAACCTATTAATTGCACGTAATAGCTGGACTGAAGCTGTTGATGATGGAGTGGGAGTCGATGTCATCTACCTGGACTTTTCATAAGCGTTTGATCGCCTAGACCATCGAATTCTCCTTCAGAAGCTTCGGAACTACGGCATTGGCGACCCAATCCTGAGTTGGATAAGCAGTTTTCTACAAGGACGACGGCTAGTGGTGAGAGTCCGAGAATCATTGTCTGATGCAATCGATGTGGCTGGTGGAGTACCACAAGGCTCGATGCTTGGACGTCCTCTATCCTTGGTGTTCATTAACGATTTGGCGAGATCAATTACTTCCGATTTCCTATTTTTCGCTGATGTTATCAAGTTATGGCAAAGGATCAGAGGACCGGACGACCACGAACGGCTCCAGTGCGATCTTAACACAGTGTCGAACTGGTCAGTTCAATACGCCCTACCATTCAACGTAGATGAATGTCGCGTTGTACAACTACGTTATAGACATAACTACACCTATTTACTTGGGACAAACGGATTGCGGACCAGCTCCCAGGAAAGTGACCTTGTGTGATCGTACAGAGCGATCTCAACTGTTCAAAACAGGCTGAGGTAGCTGCGATAAGAGGCAACCAGCACGTCGGCATGCTGCGAAAGGCATTGGTGAGTATTGACCCATCAATCTTACCCAATGATGCACAATTCCTACGTGCGCCCACATGTTTAATACGCTATCCAAGCTTGGCAACCTAGGTTGAAGCGCGACCTAGAGGCATTAGACGCACCACAACGAAGAGCAACAAAGAACGTAATGGGTCTGCGCAATCACTCTTACCACCGAAGGCTGAAGTTGCTGGGAATTTTCAGCGGACGCTATCGAAGGCTGCGCCTCGATCTCATATTAGCGTATCAAATACTGAGTGACCCCAACCACGTATGCCGCCATTTGCTGAAACTTAGCCACAACACGCAGTTCAGGGGTAACTGCTTAAAATTGAAGGAACAATATAGTCGTCTAGAGTGTCGACGGAATTACTTTTCCCTTCGGGTTTGCCAACCCTGGAACGCACTCTCAGACTCAGTTGTATCCTCTCCTACCTTGGACGTTTTCAGAAAACAATTGGATACTGCTCTTAGCTCCCAACATTTTGTTACCTAAACTCCTCTGTTGTGGATTACGCCAAGCATGTTTTTCAACAGGATTTATGTATCAAATGGACCCAAGTGAGCGACCATATGTTACTTTTCTCACGCCTTACATCAACGATCACTGCACCTCAGTGTCTTTCTGAATGCTTACGCTCAGTACTTTTTTACTTTTACACTGATGTTAATTATCAAAGTATTCATCTATGCAGACTTTCGGTAGATGACTCAGATATATTTTGATTTCATCATATTCACCCCAACCATCGTACGGGACGTATCAAGCATTTGCTTTTATCCCGTGATAAATCATTGTTCATTGTTCATCCATCTATTGACTGGGGTCCAGTCGAGGCTTCTTATTATTTCCGGCACAATTTAAACTAATTGTTTCGGCCTAACATGCACAATCGGAAACTAAACAGGCATGTCATCGTTCGCAGCCTGTTCCCTGCATACTTGGCAATCAGATCGAATTACCACAAATCATTAGGCTGACACAGCCGCACAGCTCGTACCATTTCGCATCCGTACGTTACATACGTGGTCGTAATCCTCAGTGGAAACTGTATTGTCATCTATTTAGCAAATAAGGTCTTTGTGTTGAGAAATGTGTATACCAAAATGTAATAAAGGTAGGTTTTAGCTGGAAGTGCGTAGATCATGATTTACACTGCATTCCGTGCCGCAACAGCGATGCACAGGCGGGTGATATACCGTTATGATCTTCATAGAAATGAAGGCCAGCCGTGATTCAGGCTGTCTAACTATGTATACTAAACCAAGATACTTCTCTTTTATTCCAAAATATCTGGAGAAATACTAAGGCATGCCCATCTATTCCATACGACAATCGAGGTAACTATAACTCTCACTGCCCAAATTATGCTCTCGTTTCTACATCGAAGTGAACCCAAATAGCTGTCATTTTTCAAACGGGTTTGGTGTATTCGCCGCGCTGTTGGATTGCGACACGTAATCACTATTGAGACATCCGTTCACTTTGAAATAGACCTCGGTAATTTCGAACACAATGACGGTATCCGACATGGAGGTGTTTCGGTGTTGCTGCCCCAACACTGACACCCGATAACCGGTTTTGTCTTGGTTTGGAACCATCAGATGAAAACCTGGGCTGGGGTGGAACTCGGAGGCTGGTGGTTAAAGGCTGACGCCTTAATCACTAAGACTCTAACATCCGTGAGCAACGATTGGCACAGGGGTAGGAAATTCAAGGTTGAACTTGGCTTACCCGTCGTTTGGTTGGCTTGCGACACGCAAACTCTATTACGGCCCCGGTTCACTTTGAAGTAGACCTCGGTCATCCCGAGGACAAAGACGGTATCCGAAGTGTGGGTGTTTCGGTTGTTGCCCTCAACACTGTCACTACAGCTGCACTTTTGATCTCTTTCGAAGTAGGAACTGAACTCAAGCTATCTGCACCTTACGAGACCAAATTGGTCGGTGGTAGAGTACAGTGTTAAAGGATAGCAGCTACAAATTTTTTTCGTTTCGAATGCTGTCCCAGTGGTCGAAATGGCAGAGGTTTGATTCAAAACAATCCCTGGCCACAACCCAGATTGCGTATCGTAATCCAGACGCATGATGGATAACTCAAGACACAACAATGGACTCATGTCTTTTCTGTTTCTTCTCCTTCACCTATTTGTGTGTACGTTTAACTATTTTCCCTTTAATTTCCAGTTTTTATTAGCAACTTTATACCTACCGCGATCTCGTCAACTAAACACAACTCACTCCTCTTCATTGACTACAACTGACTGGAAAAAGCATATCCGAACGGATTGTTTGTGTCTGATGTATTTCGCTCACTATGGGATTCCACATGGGAACAGTGGTGGTTCTTTTTGCTTTTGGAATCCTTGCCTCGATTCTGGTCCACCTAGATCCCATCGGCTATCGCTCCCAGTTCCCCACAAACTTAACTGGCACTTCTAACTGACAACTTCGACATACTTTCGTAAATTCTTATCGCCCAGCATCTCATTTACTCGCTCCAGTACTTCGTTTCACAATCTTCTTGTCTACCACCCATTACTGGAATACGGGAGCGATGAGGCCAACAAAACTGGCCCTTACGCAAACGAACCTGAACGTCATCCAGCACTGTACACGTTTTCGAAGGAGCCACGGAATGCGGGGACTCCAAGTACATTGATTCCGGATCAATCTATCACTCCGAATGAGCTGTTCTTTGTTCGAAATCATTTTCCCGTGCCGGTTATTGACTATGAGTGAGTCTGCGTGATTTATTGCTCCAGTACCAGTCACTTTGTCTTTTTCCCATATGACTAACACATCTCATTGCTCAGTGAATTGTCTATCCCCATTTCTTGCCGCATTCACTTTTTCGTATACCATAACATGTTAATTACATTTATTGTTCCATCGCCCTGTCACCCTGGGTTCAGATCACTGGAAAAGTTTCCCGGCATATCGTTAATCGCATTTGCATGTGTAAGCGATGATATATGAAGCAACCGGTTCATATCACGACTCATCGCTGTGATGCTACAGGTATTGCTACCGAGATCAGATATGTGATCCATGTTCGATGAATACGTTGGAGAGTTTACTTTACTTGAGTAAGGGGCCTATGCAAACTTGTTCTTCTCTGATGAACACAACGAATGACCTATAGCGATTCCTGTTACTTGGTTCATACTGTCTACTCCGTTTCTCGTGTCAGCCCATGGAATTATGCGATCAAATGGATTCCCTCGGAAAGATCTCCCTGTCCATTGTATTAAGCACCCGAAGAGTAATATCTATTCGCAATTCTTCCTCACGATCTGTTTTAATAGTGTGGTTGAATTGCTTATCAATCAAGAAGTTGTTTGAAATGGTATCTGTTAAACTTTGACTACTAGTCATTCTGTTTAGAACTATTTTACGTGAGAATTAGTTCCCTTGTTGGCAGTATGTCGTCTACCTTCATACTTGTCTTGCGAAAATGGACTGTGACTATTAAACTGCTGGAAATGTTAACACACGCCCATATATCTTTTCATAGTAGTATCCGTTTACAGAAACGGCGAGACATTTAGTTATCAGTAAACAACAACTTGAATTACGCGGTAGTTTTGTCGATGTTACTCTAAACACCAGACGCATGGTTACCACCATAGTCTGGATAGCACTATTTCCATCTGGAGTACAGCTGTACCCACGGACGTCGCCGCTTTTTGGATCACTGTGTCCTGGTTACTACTTTTGCTTCGGATTACTGTGTTATCAGTGTTTTTTCTGTGTGAATTGTCCACCAATATTCTTTTGGCGTATTTTTCAATCGATGCAAAGTTGGTGGCTATCCTTTGTCTAATTCCGGAGATCTCATTGATTTGCCCTACTGTCATCACTGTCCGCCGTCTTGGATTTGCTCTACCTTGTGATGCCATCTCAAGCTACTTATAGTTCGTGTTCGAAAGTTGTGGGAAATAAGGCTCATGCACTTCGGTACTTCGGCTGCGATGTTTTATTCCATATTTCTTGCATTGGTTTATCCGTTGACCTGCTTCAAAAATCTCTATGCATCCGAACTCGGTTTTTTCAAGTTATATGTGATAAATGTCGCCGTGCAAGACATCAGAATACACAGCGACCGCCAACAACTACGGAAAAACCTCCCTTCCAGACAGAAACACACTGTTCACCACGTGGGTTCAAACGCCCTCGTGAAATCACCTCTGTCACCTCGCCTTGTCACTCTACGATCTGCACCACCACCAGCGTCTTCGACCCCGGCCGAGTCTCAGGTTCAATGTTCTCCACTGATAGAAGACTCAGACTCGGAACCTACGAAATGCCACTTCACTGATCGGTCCGTGAATTTCTCAGAGCCTGTCTATGAACTTCTGAGCATCGAGGCTCCGTGGACCACTCAAAAGCGCAAGGGGCCAGTTAATCGAGTTCAGGCGTCCCCTGCTGATAAACAACAACCCAATCAGATTAGCGCCTCTAGTTCTGCTCCCACAGGTTCATCACCGATTTCGGTGAGGCGTCATAATCTCATGATCTTCCATGTACCAGTGTCAAAAGATGAAAACCCCTCAGATACGTTATGATCACGATGTTGGGATCCTCTAGGGGCTCGTCAATAGACTGTTGGGGGTGGGCGAAGATAGTGTGACCATTGAACAAGTAATCCGACTTGGCCAGAAAACTAACCAATCATGTCGACCGTTGAGAATCACTTTTGCAAATCACAATACGCTGCATCTCATACTGTCTCGTCTGTCAAGGCTGCAAGGCATCAAAGTTCACATCCGCCGAGACTTGGAACGCGAAGACAGGGATCGTTTGAAGACTGCGGTCATTGAGCTCAAACGCTGTACAGAGGAGGGTCAGACTGATTTACAAATTGTAAATTTTCGGGTGATTAATAAGGTTGTACCAACCTGTATCAACCGGTTGTTCAACCTCCATCACATCCCGCAGGACCTCCGTGTGGCATTCGCCAACGTGTGCAACCTGATGAACAAACGTGACGAACTGTGCCGCTTCGCTGACTCGTAGCGTCCGGACGTTTTAGGACTTGCAGAGATTTGGCTGAACTCCGACGTCATACCCCAATAAGTCGCGTTGTCAGTATACTCTTGTTTCCGATGCAATCGCAAATTAAAGGCTCACGGTAGTGTTCTGTTATACATAAAATCGTCACTATCTGGCAAACTTACCAGCACCTATCGGAGCCAGGATAGTTTATGCGAGAAATTGTGGTGCACAATCCTCCTCAGACGCACAGAGCTAATAGTGGGTGTTATCTACGGTAACCCATTAAACCGTTGTTGAGATTGGCTGCCACATGTACAGAAGCACCTGAGTTGCCCTCATTTCTTACTGATGGGGAATCTGAATTTACCTGATATTTTGGCTAGACGTTGGACTACTTCCCGGTCATGGCGAAGTTGAGGCTCAATTCGCTAAAATGACTATTGAAATCAGGGCAACGCAACATGTCATCCAACAGACGCGCGTAACTCCGAACTCGGCATCTTGTCTGGACCTAATGTTTACGAGCTGCGAGCAGAAGCTGAACGAGATCTGAGTCCTCAAACCTCTGGTGAACAGTGACCACTGCTCCATTGTAGCAAGCATAGAACTGTCTTTACCGTATTACAACCAACGGAAGTCGACATTCAACTATTGGAAGATAGACTTCAACGGGCTCGTCCAAGCCGCAAGTCAGACTGATTGAACACTACCACAGGATGCGTCGCTTGAGACCTGTTGGTCATTAATGAAGGGGAAGCTTAACTCGCTGTGTACTCGGTCCGTTCCCCTGACGTATTCAAAAATCGGACCTCTCAAACAGCATTGGTTTGTTACGGAATATAGACAGTTAGCGCGACGGCGTCGCAAACTTTGGGATAGATACATCAGCTCGGGTTATGATGAAGATTACACGGTGTACAAGAAACAGCGAAACTTGTGTATCGCCGCAAAGATCACGAAACGCTGGCAGTTCGAAGAGGCATCCTAGGCCACAACTATACCCAAAAGAATATTTGCCTACTTGAAAAGTCAATTGAAACCTGGGGGCGACCTACCGATCTTAGAGAGTTTGGACGGACAGACGGTCATTTTAAGCGCGGAGCGTGCGGACGCCTTTGCTAGGCACTTCCTCACCGTATTTTCCAGTAAACCGGCGGCTGTTCCAATACCGGCACAGGTTGCGCCGGTCTTGCTCGACAGCCTACAATGTGGTGCAGTCGAAGTGTATCAGCTACTCCTCATCCTCGATGGTGCAAAACTCCCAGACCAGACGGACTTCACTCACTAATACTCAACTCCCTATCGATTATCATCTCACCAGCCGTGACAAACCTTTTCAATAAATCACTCTCTGATATATCTGTCCCCAACGACTGTAAATGCTCGTTAGTGAGACCGCTTCCCAAGGGTGGTGATCCGAGTAAATTAGTGAACTACAGACCGATCTGTTTGACTTCGATACTATCCAAAGTTCTCGGAGGGTTGTGAAATGTGTCTGCTGTCGTTCTTCGAATCGATGGACGTATTGACGCCAGCGCAACACGGCTTTACGAAAGGGCGATCCTGCATCACCAACTTGATGTACGCAAACCACCAGTGGGTACGAGCTCTCAATGAACAGAAGGATGTTGACGTGAGGTACATCAATTTTATTAAGGCGTTTGACAGAGTGAACCACGAGGTACTCCTTGGTAAACTGAGGACATACGGAGTCGGTGACACGCTACTTCAGTGGTTACACAAGTTTATTGTGGGAAGAAAGTTTAAAGTACAGGACAATGACTACCTGACAGACTGGCTCTCATCGACCAGTGGCGTACCTCAAGGAACTGTACTTGGGCCAGTATTATTTCTTCTTCATATCAACGATCTTCCGCAGCAGCTCCAGTCACCATGTGCCCAGTTTGCAGATGATTTGAAAATCTGGAGGATCATTGAGAACCAGGACGACTGCGCTCGCCTCCAGCATGACTTAGAGCGACTGTCAACGTGGTCCACTGAAATACAACTCCCTCTTAACGCAAGCAAGTCGGAGTTCATCAGTATCACCAGACGTCCAGCCACTCGACCATACACCTTGGACGGCCAGTTGCTCCACCCTAACACATCCGTCAGAGACTTAGGGGTTCTCTCACAACATGAGATGGGATCACTAGAAAATACAGAGAAATTGTACCGTGCAGAACTTCGTATGCTCTGGGCATTAAGGCAGTTTCTTTACATAGTCCGAAGAAACCGTCCGTCGTCTATTCACCTCGCTCATTAGACCAGTCCTTGAATATGGGGCCCTAGCTTACCATCCGATAACCCAGTGGGAAACTGAAAAGCATACATCATATCGCAACTAGAGTGATACCTAGTCTACGAAAGCTTCCGTATGAAAAACGTTGCGAAAGGCTCGGAATCTACACACTATCTTACCGCCGAGTAAGAGTTGACCATATTATTACCCATCGAGTACTACACTTGAATCACTTCCCCATACTGTGGCCAATATTTCACCTTCGCGTACCCTGTAACACCCGAGGACACCTTTACAAACTCAGGGTCCTCTGCATGTACAAAGTATCACATCAGCTTTGTACAGAACGAAGAATCGTAAACTTTTGGAATACACTATCAGAAGGATTAATAGAGGCCGATTCTGTGAAGTGTCTTAAAACACGTATCGAGGATTATTTCGGAAACCTGTGCTTTTGTGAAACGATGCACATACAATGCCAAAAGAAGACATTGTATG